TTTTAAGTCTTTTTTTTTTCTTTTCCCTGAGCATTCCTATCCATATGAAATAGTTCAGTTGTGGTGTGTAGATAAGATTGCCCATTAGATCATGACATTGTTTTTAAATTTTTTACTGAGTTACGGTATACAAACAGGAAGGCGTTATACATTTGTAGCTTGTGTGGTTTTCACAAGCTAGTGTGACGATCAAGAGGCAGACGTACTAGCCCCCTCAGATCCCTCATGCTCCCTCAGTCACTCCTCCAAGGGTCGCTGGTACTGGGCCTTGACTTTTTGCGATTGTAGATCGCTTTGCCAAGTTAGGTACTTTCTCCAAGTGGAATTTCACAGGGGACAGTCTTGGGTCTGGCGTTTACCAACAGTATGTTACAGAGTCATATTATATTTGACTTCTGTGTTTTTTTGTTTGTTGGTTTTTCCTTGTTGGTGCTGGGGATCGAACTCAGGACCTTGCACTTGCCAGGCAGGTGCTTATGCTGCTGAGCTATTTCCCCAGTCCCATTGACTATGGTTTTCTGTTGAGAATATGTAGGAATATAATCAGTTGGAGTAGGGTTAATCTTCTGGGTCACTACATGTAAATAAACAGAATAATACATTAATTTATTGTTTTACTAGCTTTTCAAATCCCTAAGTTGATACTGGGTAGCTTTTTGTTTGTTTGTTTGTTTTGAGGGGACTAGCAGGGTCTTGCTATGCAGTCCAGGCTGGCCTTCAACTCACAGCAGTCCTCTGCTGCAGCCTCCAGAGTGCTGGGATCCCAGGCGTGTGCCACCATATTTGACTGGTAGTTTTTATTTTAAAAAAGGTCTTTTCTTACCTACTTAGTATACTTCAAAAAAAAAAAAAAAAAAAAGAGGCCCTAGTGTCCTTTGGCATTTGGCAGGCAAACACGGATCATCCTCCTCATTTGGTATGCCATAACCAAACTTCCTTTCAAGTCACCTGATCCTTCATGTTTCAGAAACACGCTTTTCATCCTTAAAAATGGCATTTTACTTCTGGATAGCATTTATAGTTGTCTTAGTAGCAGATTATTCAGATTTTAGTTAAAGGATGACTGCAACCCATCCTGAACAAATCGTTTGGCTAGTAACTAAGCGCTGTGCCTTTTTGAAGGGTTCATATGGCAGTGAGCCTGTGGCTCTTGTCCCATTACATGAGGAACTCTGGGTACATCACCTGAACTCTAAGGCCCAACTTCTTCAAAAATATTTCCTTATCCCATTTATTTACATGTCAGTTAGAGAAAGAAGAGGACTTCATGAGGATTTCAGAAATACATTATATAGTACCCCTTAAAGAGATGAGCTCTAGCGTTTTTAAGTTACAAATAAGTCTAAGCCTCAGCTCTATGAAAGGCAAGCATAACCGAAGTGTAAGCTTACTGCCTAGGAAGGGAAGTGAGGTATCTGACAGACACTGATTTCCAGAGAACAGGTGTGCGCAGGGGCTAAAAATAGTGTTGTGTCATCAGCGTTACAGAAAACGCAGTCAGAAAACCCCTGCGGTTTCTTTTCTAAATTCAGACCTTTGAGTAACTGGAGTAGTGTAAATGTGTAAAACCAGGTCAGTAGGTGTCTCCTAACAGATCCTGTTAGTGACATAGTAGTAACACGTGTACACACACACTCCCACACTTTCTTTTTACAGCACCTTTTGAAGCCCAGCCTTTTAGAAACTCTAAGGTAAGGGATGGGCCCCCTCACAAGCCCGTACTTCCAAGATTCCATGGCTGCGTAGGAATCAGCAGAGCTTGCTTTCAGTTCACAGTCAGTACTTTTCACTTATAGGTGTACTTGTACTGAAAATTTTTACTAATTGTATATCATGATACGGGTGTCATTTGTGCGAGGCATGGTAAAAAATGGAGGGTCAGTATCACAAATTCTGGAGTCAGACTGGGACAAAATTCTAGCCTACCAGTCATTAGCTATTAACCTTTTTTCATGCTATTTGCTCAACTATGAAAATGAGTCTCCTAGCTGGGTGTGGTGGCACACACTTGTAATCTCAGCACTCGGGAGGCTGACGCAGGAGAATTGTTGCAAGTTCGAGACCAGCCTGGGGTACAAAGTGAGCTCCAGGCTAGCCTGAACTACATAAAGAGACCCTGTCTCAAAAAGACAAAAACAAAAACAAACAACAAAAAAAGACAAAAAAACCTCAAACTACCTATCTCGTGGGCTGGCGTTATAGCTCAGCAGCATAGTGCCTGGCAAATGTGAAATTCTTAGTTCAATTCCTGTTACGAAAAAAAAAAGTCTTATAAATTGGTATGTAAAAGTAAGCTGAGTAACACACTAATTTATTAACTTAAAAAAATCATTGAAGTAGGGCAGTATGATCTCCGTTTACCAATGGAAAGTTGAGGCTGAGAAATGGTAACTTGGGGCTGGCCCGATGGCTCAGCAGACTAAAGTGCCTGCTTAGGCAGGTGCAGGGACCTGGGTTGGATCTCTGGCGTGCCATGCCGGCTCCACCCCCAGGTCATGCTGAGGTGGCGACTGAGACGACGTGGTGGTGCGCGCCTGTAATCCCAGTGCTTGGGAGGCTGAGAACAGGAGGATCAGTGAGAGTCCGATCTGTGTAGTGAGACCCTGGAGACCCTGTACTAAATACATTAAAAAAAAAAAGAAAGAAATGCTCACTTGACAGAGGACAGTTTCCTGTCCTCTCATATCATCTGCAGTACACTTCCCGTTAGACTATACTGTAGCTATGATGAGCTTGCGAATCAGTCTAGATGAATGTTAATTCATCAGTTTACCACAAGGTTCCTGGGAAGTCACTGCTGGTGTGTACAGGATTTTTTCCTCCGCAGGCAGGGAAACCCTGATGATTACGTTCCTGTACTTAGAGAACGTAACTAGCCAGCTCACTACCTGGCTGGGCCCGGTGACTGACGTTTTCCTTCCCAGCTGCGTCGGAATTGGTCAGCAGAACTGCTGTTTTATCGTGCCGTTGCATCTTCAGGGCACTTTGCACAGGACTACGTTCTTCCTCCTTTATGTCAGCTCCCGCTTCCTTTGACCTGGGAGTTGCCATAAGACGCGGAGCCTTCAAGCCCCAAGCCAGCATCTGCAGGCGGAGGAGGCGCAGCCCTCCACTGTTAATGTTGTTCTGGAGGTGTTGGCAGGTGAACTGGACAGGAGTGAAAGAAGATACGGAATTTTATTTACACATGGGGTTGTATGTTTGGAAAGCCTAACAGGTTTGGTTTTCAAATATATATCAGTTTTGAAAGTTGAGTATGAAAGAGATAGACATGGCTCTATAGGAAAATACAAGAGCTGTGAAAGACTTCTTGACTGGGAATTATGTCAGTGTCATGTTAATATATAGGTGTTAGCTCTGATTCATTTAGAAAAAGAAAATAACTGGCTTGACACTAGTCAAGATAAGTAGGGGTGAGAGGGGCCTTAACTGTTCATCAAACAGTTATACAGTTAAACAGTAATACAGTTAAAATGTATTACAAAACTGGAAATTAAAATAACTTGGTATTATTGTAGGGATTGATTCCAAACAGAATTGTTAAAAATTAGACCTTATAAAAAGGACTAATAATTCAATGAAAGTCACTTTTGAAATAATTGGAGAGGGGCTGGGGAGATAGCTCAGTAGAGGGCCTGGTTCAATCCCCGGTTCCGTCCCCCCCAAAAAAAAAATTGGAGAAAATATGGGACAGGTGAATGACCATTTAGAAAAATAAGTTGTATTTCTTCTTTCTTATTCTGTAGATTAAGTGTGGAGGTATTACAGTAAACCTGTGAGCACATTTGTATTCTTGGAGTGAAAAGATTGTAAGCGTGATACCTCATGGATATATTTGTTTAAAAATTAAAAATTTAAATACTAAATTATAGCAAAAATCCTATAAAACTTTAAGCCTAATGACAGACTAGAAAATATTTGCAATGAGGAGGAATTTCCGTAGTATATAAAGAAGTACGAAATTAGCAGAAAACTGGTGAGAAGATATACATGAACACATACTCATGTTTTTTCATGAGGCATGTAGTTTCCAAATTAGTGAATATAAATAGTATATATGGTACCCCACTACATTTTATGTGGAAAATAAATTGATGAAACATTTCTTGGGGCCAGGGAGATGGCTCAGTAGAGTAAGTGCTTGCCTGGCAAGCGCAAGGGCCTGAATTCAATCCCCGGTTCTGAAAAAAAGACCAAAAAACCAGAAAAACCCCCCAAAAACCACTTCTGTAGGCGTTTGGCGCTGCCTGACGGCGTAGATGTGTGTCTGCTGGTCTAGGACATCGAGTCACAGGAACGTACCCCGCGTGCGCATAGTGAGAACGCTCCTGGCGGGGTAGCCGCTTAAGTCAAGTCTGAGTATTCACAGCGAAGGAATACTGTACAGCCAATGGAGGTACTTGTTAAGGGCATGAAACGAGGTATAAAACAGTACAGTGAGGTGCTATGAAGAGGGATAAGCAACGGCAAGGCAACAAGAAACTGACGAATCGTAGCTGTGTGGGAGCTGGGAGAGTGGGGCCAGGAGCCAGGAAGCAAGGTTTGCTTCTTAATATTCATTCTTTTTTTAAGTCATGTGGTCATATTTCCTATTTAGCATATTGTTTGAATAAAAAATTCATGCTGTACTTCTGCCTTTTGAATATGACAGGTTAGGACAGAGTCATCCTAGTGTATTTTCCTAAGAGATCTGCTATTGGAACGTCTTTGAAATTCCGTTCTGACCTCAGGCTTAGCTATATGCCTTTCAGTAAAAGACTAACTGTATATTTTTATAGTATTGACTTTTTCATCTTTAAAAATGTTTATTGCTTGTTTTATGATGTCATTGATTTGCAAATTGATGATTATTCTTGGTGTGAACTTTAGTTCTCAAATCATGATGGTTTTATTTGGGTAACTCATTGAGAATGTTTTGCAAGGGTTAGTCCTGTTGAGTTAAAAGAAAAAATAACCTGGCTTAGAGAAACTAACGGCTGTGTTTATTTTGATCTGGACAGATATGGAGGCCAATCACTGCCACCTTTTATTTCCCCGTGGGTCCAGGAACTGGATTTCTTTATTTGGTCAATTTATATTTCTTATATCAGTATTCTACACGACTTGAAGCAGGTATGTTTTCATTAGTTGTTTTAAATGCTGTTTCTAATTTACTAATTCATATGTTTACTTCCGTGGAGGAATTTTAAGGGCAGTCAGCAGTAGTACCTAAAGAAGATCATGATGGCAGTGTATGTGCTCAGTGGCTGGGCGAAATCTGTTACAGTGACATAAAGTCTGAAGTATCTGTCACCATTCCTCAGTAGCTGAGCTGTATGCTTCTCATTTATTTGGCTATCTCATTCATTTCTGTCGTAGAGCGGTCATTGTCCTTTGATGCAGCACTGGCTGGAGGGCATGAATCTCTCAGATCAAGGTTGAAAAATTATTACTGTATGCATATCAAAGCCCAGATTTATTTGCCGTAATTGCAACACTCTACCTTATAATACATAGTTGAGATTTAGTAATGTTAGTTTATCGTATGTTGTACCAGAATGACGTATGAATAAACTGTCAAAATCTTTTCTTGAAAATACTGTATTGAATTGTTATTTGCTTCCAGCAGTATCTTATATGCCATTCTGAGCTGGTTGTGCTAAGAAGCAGTAAGTCCATACGTTCTTGTGGTGTGAGTGCGATTCTGTTGAGCTGAAATGATTTGGAATAGTTTGGCTTCAGAGACTGAAGTCAGCCACACTATTATCCATTAGCTAAGGTTGGAGATCCTGGCTGCTCTTAAAGCTTGAGGAAGGGTAGGCTGGCAGCTGAGGCGACGCTGGCAGCTGAGGCGACGCTGGCAGGAGGCTGCTCTCCACTGTGTCAGGCGTGGCCCTTGCATCTGTCAGGACAGGCGATTTCATTCTCCTTTTCCATTGGTATCTGATTATGCCTCTGGCCTGCTTAGCAGTATATCTTCTTGGATAATTGAGGATTTCTTTGTTGGAAAAGTTTTTTTTTAAATAAGCAGTAAACTATATATTTAAGTTATTTAAACCTTTATTGTGGGAAATCTTTAAACATAAAGTAGAGAAAAAGTTGAATGAAGCTTTTATTGAGATCAGATTCACTTAACATAAAGTTCACCATTTTAGCCATTTTATTTGCATATATGTATTCATTTATGTTTTGGTTTTTTGAGACAGGGTCTCATTATGTAGTTCAGGCTGGCCTTGACCTCATTGTATAGCCCAGGCTGGCCTCGAATCCATGGTGATCCTCCTGCCTTAGTCTCCTGAGTGCTGGGGTTATAGCTGAGTGCTGAGTTTACCAGGATGAGCCACCACGCCTGGCTCATTTTAACCATTTTATTTTATTTTTATTTATTTATTTTTTTGCGGTACTGGGGATTGAACTCAGGACCCTGCACTTACTAGGCAGGCGCTTATTCTTACTGAGCTCTCTCCTGGGCCCTGAGCCACTTTAAATGGTCTTTAATGTACTTACAATGTTATGTAACAATCACCACAGTTTAATTACAGAGTTTTCATCATTCAAAAACCCTTAATCAGGCATTCTCTGTTCCCCTTTCCCCTCTCCCAGCCCCTGGCAACAACTAATCTACTTTCTGTGTGGATTTGCCTATTTGAGACATTTCGTATGGCCTTTTGTAACTCACACTGTGAAGCGTAAGCCCCTATTTGACTATGACCCACCTCTTAACACTTATCTTCTAGGTAGTCTTTGATGGCTACCTCACCTTCCATTATTTGAAGCAAGATGCTCGGCATGATGTCATTTCATTAATAAATCTTTTAGTATTTTTTATTTATTTATTTGTATTTTAGGATATGGTCTACAGGGTGTTCAGGGTCTCACTACTACATCGGACTCATAGTGATTCTCCTGTTTATAGCCTCCCAAGTGCTGGGATTACAGATGCGCAGCACCACGCCCAGTCTCAGTTGCCTTCTCAGCGCACCCCAGAGACAAGGCCAGCATGGCAGGCGAGGGGATTGAATACAAATCTTTTAGTATTTATCTCTGGCATAGACTTAAAGAATCTAATACTATTTTGAGATTCAACCTAAATCCCAATAATTTCTTGAGCACTTTTTTACTTGTTGTCTCTTGATTATTTAAAGGTCCTTAAATTCATTCACCCATGTCTGATAAGGAGATAATACACTGAACTTTTAATATTAATTTACCCAAATGACATTTATGGAAAATCCATGGGATTACTAGGCCACTGGTCTCTCGTTTGCTTTGATTCATGGAAGTTGCTCTTTTATTCCCTATTCCCTATGTAGAAAGCATTTTGAAATGCTCAAGCTGAGAGGCTTTCTATGTGTTTCATTGGGGAGTGAACCCAGAGCCTTCACACTGAGCTACATTCCGAGACCTTTTATTTTTATTTTGAGACAGAGTTTTGCTAAGTTGCCCAGCCTGGGTTTAAACTTTGGGTCTTTTTGTCTCAGCTTCCTAGACTGCTAGGAGTACAGGTATATACCATCACAGCTTTACTGAGATACACAATTGCCCTTCTGAATCCATAGTTTTTGCATTCTTGGATTCAACTAACTGCAGATTAAAAATGTTTGAATAAAATATCAAGTCTTGGGCCAGGGAGATGGCTCAGTAGAATAAGTACTTCCCTGGCAAGTGCAAGGGTCTGAGTTTAATCCCTGGTTCTGCAAAAAAAAAAAAAAAAAAAAAAAATCAAGTCTGGGACTGGGGAGACAGCTTGGCAGGCTGAGAGTCTGTTTTGTGAGCACAAGGACCTGGGTTCAATCCCTGGTCCCGCACACTGTGCTGGCCTGGAACCCGGACATGTTGTGCCAGCCACTGAAACTGGGTGTCGTGGTGCACGCCTGCACAATAAATAAATAAGATTGAAAGTTAAAAACAAAACCATAGGCCAGGGAGATACCTCAGTAGAATAAGCGCAGGTGCTGAGTTCGGTCCCCAATGCCAAAAAACAAACAAAACCAAGTCTGAACTGGAGGTATACGACTGTTTTCTTTCATTATTTCCTAACGTAGTATAGCAATTATAAAACATTTACATTGTATTAGGTAGTATATGTAATCTATAGATGATTTACAACGTGTGGGAGGGGCCGGCGAGATAGCTTAGTGGACTAAAGCACCTGCTTAGGCAAGCTTAGGCAAACGGACTGTGGTTCGATCTCTGGCACCACGTGCCACACCAGCCCCACTCCCAGGGTGGGCTGAGCAGCCCGGAGTCCGGAGGGTAGTGGCCCACAGCTGTAATCCCAGCACTGGGGAGGCTGAAAGCAGGAGGATCACCATGAGTCCTAGTTGTGTAGTGAGACCCTGTAACAACCAAATACATTAAAAGTAATAAGAATGTATACAATCAGTGGTTTTCAGTATCTTCAGAGATGTGCAGTTATCCTAATTTATGATGTTTCGTCACCCCCAGAGCATGTACCCCTTAGCAGCCAACACGTATTTTCTTTCAGCACTGTCCTCCCCTAAGCTGTAGGAAATCATTCATCTACTTTTTGGCCCTTTAGCTTAGTGTTTCTGGACGTGTCCTATGAACAGAGTCACATTGCCTGTGGCCTGTTGAGACTGGCATGTTCCACTTGGCGTTGTTTTTGAGGTTCTATGGGGCGTGTGTCAGGGATCAGGCTGCTGTGCGCGGCAGTGTCGGCAGGAGTTTCTGTGATCCTTCTGTTTTCCTTTCCCGGGCAGGAACACAGCGATGGTGTGCGGCAGTGCCGACGTGCCCGAGGTCCTGGAGCTGTTAGGTGTAGCGCAACTAGGAAGGGAATCCATGACTCTGTTCACTGTCCACCGTGCAGCCTCCAAGTTAGCATTTTGACAAAATGTTTTCCACCATGATGTTTCTGTGCCAACCTAAATTGTTTAGTATTTAGAAGTACTGGTGTATTTATGAGGTGTCTGATTTTAATAGAAAGAGTACAATTTCAGTTAATTGTGAATTTCCAGGTGCAAACATGCCAAATGTTACGGTACTGTATTTATGTGAGGATAGTATGCTATGTACTCAATCTAAAGAATCCTTAGAAATCTCAAAGCACGTGCCTGTAATGTCAGCTCTTGGGAGGCTGTAAACAGGTGGATTAGTATGAGTCTGATCTAGAAGTGAAACCCTGAACACCCTGTAGACCCTTCCCTAAAATACAAAA